TAAGTTCTGTATAGATTTTGGATACTAGCCCTTTATCTGATATGTCATTTGCAAATATCTTCTCCCATTCTGTTGGTTGTCTTTTGCTTTTGTCGACTGTTTCTTTCTTTTATCTTGATGAAGTCCCAATAGTTCATTTTTGTCCTTGCTTCCCTTGCCTTTGGCGATGTTCCTAGGAAGAAGTTTCTGTGGCTGAGGTCAGAGAGGTTGCTGCCTGTGTTCTCCTCAAGGATTGTGATGGACTCCTGTCTCACATTTAGGTCTTTCATCCATTTTGAGTCTATTTTTATGTGTGGTATAAGGAAATGGTCCAATTTCAGTCTTCTGCATGTGGCTGTCCAATTTTCCCAATACCATTTGTTGAAGAAGAGACTGTCTTTTTTTCCACTGGACATTCTTTCCTGCTTTGTTGAAGATTAGTTGACCATAGAGTTGAGGGTCCTTTTCTGGGTTCTCTGTTCTGTTCTATTGATCTGTGTGTCTGTTTTTATGCCAATACCGTACTGTCTTGATGATTACAGCCTTGTAATACAGCTTGAAGTCCAGAATTGTGATGCCACCAGTTTTCGCTTTCTTTTTCAATGTTTCTTTGGCTTTGGAGCAGACTTCTAATAGTTCTGATTTTGTGCTCCGCGGCTCTATCACTTGCTGGTGGCAGCTGACAGAGGCACCCTCCCCCCATGATCTATCTTCCCGAATATCACCTCGGATTCACTTCTCCGCACGTTCTGCCTTGCAGAAAGTGGTCGCTTTTCTTAGACCTCTGGTTGAGTTCACAGTTGTTCAGAATGATTTGATAGCTATGTAGCTGAATTCCTGGGACCAGACGAAATTACGGTCTCCTACTCCTCTGCCACCTTCCATGTAAAAATTTTTGTATGAACACAGGTTTTTAATTCTTCTGGGTATTTACCTAGGAGTGGAATGACTGGGACATATGATAACTCTGTGTTTAGTCTTTTGGAAAGTTGCCAGACTGTTTTCAAAAGCAGCTGCTCCTTTTTACACTCCTGCCAGCTGTGTGTGCGGGTTCTAATTTCTCCATATTTGCTGTCACGTTTATGATCTTTCTGATTTAGACATCCTAGCATGTGTGAAGTGGTATCTCATCATTTTGATTTGCATTTCCCTGAACAGCTTTTCATGTACTTATTGGCTATCTGTATATCTTTAAAGAGAAGTCTGTTCAGATCCTTTTCGGTTTTTAAATTGGGTTATTTGTCCTTTTATTACTGAATTGCAGGAATTCTTATATTCTAGACCTGATCATTATCAGATGATTTGCAAATATTTTCTCCCATTTTGTGTGTTGTTTCTTCACTTTTTTGATGGTATCCTTTGAAACATTTAAGTTTTTAATTTTGATTAAGACCAGTGTTTCTCCTTTTTGTTGCCTCTACTTTCAGTGTCATATTTAAGAAACCATTGCCTAATCCAAGGTCATGAAGATTTGCTCTGTTTCCTTCTGTAAGTTTTATAATTGTAGCTCTTACATGTAGACATTTGATTCATTTTGAGTTCATTTTTTTGTATATGGTGTAAGATAAAGGTCCGCTTCTATTCTTTGCATGTGGATATCCAATTGTCCTATCACCATTTGTTGAAGAGACTGTAAGTTCCCCATTGAATTATCTTGGTACCCTTGTTGATAATCAGTTGACCGTAAATGTGAGAGTTTATTTCTGGAGTCTCAGTTCTATTCCATTATTTTATATTCCTGTTCTTATGCCAGTACCACACTGTCTTCGTTGCTCTGTCTTTATAGCAAGTTTTGAAATTGGGATGTGTGAGTCCTCCAACTTTTTTTTTCCCCCTCAAGATTGTTTTGGCTCCTCTGAGTCCCAGTAGAATGAATTTTAAAATCAGTTTGTCAGTTTCTGTCAAGAATCCAGCTGGAGGGGCACCTGGGTGCCTCAGTTGGTTGGGCATTTGCCTTTGGCTCATATCATGGTCCAGGGTCCTGGGATTGAGCCCTGTGTCAGGCTCCCTGCTCAGCCAGGAGTCTCCTTCTCCCTCTGCCTCTCCCCCTGGCTTGTGCTCTCTCTCTCTCTCAAATAAATAAAATCTTTAAAAAAAAAAAAAAAAAAGCTGGAATTTTGATAGGGATTACCCTTAGTCCATAGATCAACTTGGAGACTGTTGCCATCTTAGCAATATTAAGTCTTCCTATTTTCCCATTTATTTAGCTTTTTATATTTGAAAGTTGCTAAGAGAGTAGATGTTAAAAGTTCTCACCACAAGAAAAGAAACTTTTAACCATATGAGGTGATGGATATTAGACTTATTGTGGTAATCATTTTACAATGTATACGTATATCAAATCATTATGTTGTACATCTTAAACTAATACAATATTATATGTGATGTCTGATAAAGTGTTAATCAAAATATATAAAGAACTTCTAAAATTCAGCACCCAAAAAACAAACAATTCAGTTAAAAAATGGGCAGAAGGCATGAATAGACATTTTTCCAAAGAAGACATACAGATGGCTGACAGACACATGAAAAGATGCTCAACATCACTCATCATCAGGGCAATACAGATCAAAACTACAAGGAGATATCACCTCACACCTGTCAGAATGGCTAAAATTAACTACACAGGGAACAGTAGGTGTTGGTGAGGATGCAGAGAAAGGGGAACCCTCTTACACTGTTGGTGGGAATGCAAGCTAGTGCAGCCACTCTGGAAAACAGTATGGAGGTTCCTCAAAAAGTTAAAAATAGAACTAACCTACAATATAGCATTTGCCCTTCTAGGTGTTTACCAAAGGATACAAAAATACTGATTCAAAGAGATATGTGTACCTTGATAGTTGTAGCAGCATTGTCAACAATAGCCAAATCATGGAAAGAGCCCCAATGTCCATCGACTGATGAATGGATAAAGAAGAGGTGTGTGTGTGTACACACACACACACACACACACACACACACACACACACAACGGAATATTATTCAGCCATAAAAAAGAATGAAATCTTGCCATGTGCAACGACATGGATGGAGCTAGAATGTATAATGCTAAGTGAAATAAGTCAGAGAAAGAAAAATACTATATGATTTCACTCATATGTGAAATTTAAGAAACAAAACAGATGAAAATAGGCAGAAAAGGAGGCGAACCAGAAAACAGACTGTTAACTATAGAGAACAAACAAAGTTACTAGAGGGGAGGGTCAGGGGGATTGGTTAAATGGGTGATGGGTATTAAGGAAGGCACTTGTGATGAGCACTGGGTGTTGGATATAAGTGGATATAAGTGATGAATCACTAGATTCTATACCTAAATTAAAAATGTAACACTGTATGGTAACTAACTGGAATTTCAATGAAAACTTGAAAAAAATCATTGAAATTAAAAACAACAATAATAATATGTCAATTATATCTCCATGAAACTGGAAATTAAAAAAAAAAGAAAGAATTGTGTGAGCCTAGCAGTCAGACACCTTCAGAATGGGGCCTTATGTCCAGCACTTCATCAGGCCTTATGTCACTTCACTTAAGGGAGGATGCTATACCTGATCTCCCGTGGTTAGCTGGCCCTACCTTCTAGACATTTCTCATCTTTGCCTCACAGTAAGGTGCTTATGGAATGCCCAAAAGGAGAGAGGTATTTCTACTGAGCTGTGTATGTATTGACTTTGTCAAGCTTGCAGAACAGGTTGCATGGTAGTTTGCTGCTTCTTGCTAATAAAAGTTTGTGCTAATAGCACAAGAAGAGTAAAGTTAATGAATCTGATAGCTACCCTAAGGAAGTAGAACCCCAAACCTAACAGGTTAAATCCATTCAGCCTGTTAGTAGCTACTTGCCAATCACTTACTTTCTAAATATGTTATTTGTATTTAGTTGTATATTATTCAAACTCTACCAAATAAGGCATTTTCCTTACTTTTACAATTTGGTAAAAGGAATAAAGAAAATGATTATGGGTTGTTACATGTGTAGAAATTTTTAGAAAAAAAAGGAGTCTTTTAAAAGTGTAAAACAAGGGGCGCCTTGGTGGCGCAGTCGGTTGAACGTCTGACTCTTGGTTTTGGATCAGTTCGTGATCGATCAGGGTTATGAGATTGAGCCCCATGTGGGGCTCCGCTCAGCATGGAGTCGGCCTGAGATTCTCTCTCATTCTTCCTCTGCCCCTCCCTCCCACTCACTCACTCTCTCAAATAAATAAATAAATCTTTTTTAGAAAAACGTGTAAAACAAGTTTCAAGCTTATAACTGTCTTATTTATATTTATTTAAGGTTCTAGCATCTTGGACAGAGCTGTTATTGAACATAATTTGTTGTCTGCAAGCAAATTATATAATAATATTACCTTTGAAGAACTTGGAGCTCTTTTAGAGATCCCTGCAGCTAAGGTATTTTCTTGTTTCCAATATATAAAAAAGAAGTTAAGAGACTATTGATGTAGTGAGAAAATATGTAATTGATAAATATTGGCAACTGGAATAAAAATACACATAAAAAGCCTCAGGAAAATGGAAATAAATTATTTGAATGTTAAAGTAGTACAGTGATGGAATTGTCTTAGATCTTTGCTTTTCTTAAACTATATTTTATGATAAAGTGAGGTGTTCCAGGTTATGATACCTGTTTTGTGAGAATCTTTGCTTAGTGTCTGTTTAAATCCACTTCATAGTGTTTTCTGACTTCTGATGAATTTGAGATTTTGATACATGCCTTACTTCTTTTTATGTTCTCGTTGACTCAAAGGTTAAATATTTCATCGGTTTGAAAGAATAACTGTGGTAATTCTCTAGACTATTCTGTGGTAACTTTTATGCTTGATTTATCTTAACTTGACTGAGTTAGTATGAAATTAATTTCATTTTTAGTCATGATAAGGGTTTGGTTGGCTCTGTACAAATAACAACAAAGTACCAGTAGTCTTTAGAGGGTATTTCAGCTGTCATTTAAAAAACATTCTCTTAATTTTAGATAAGAGTAAAAATAAGCAATCAACTTACTTTTACCTAACTTGCATACCTTAAAGTCATGTAGTAATGGGTCACATCCCCTTTTATCTGTTGGTGAAATTTTAATTTAGAATTTCCTAACATAGTTCCTTTACCTGTACACATTCAATACACAGTACAGGAAATGGAACAATTTGGGAACCAAAGCTTAAGTTCCCATCAAAAGATACTTTCTTCTTAGACTGAGACTTAGGGAAATGAATATATATTTAACAATATAATACAGTCTGTTTAGGATTTATTGTGAAGATGGTCAGAATTACTAAAACGACCAAGTCAAAAGCCAGTTTGCTTACACATAGTAAACATGAAACATGTCTTTAGGAGCTAGGTAGAGGACCTTTTGGTTCCCTTTAATGTTTTATTTTTTTTTGAAGATTTTATTTATTTATCTGAGGGAGAGCACTGAGGGAGAGTGAGAGGGAGAAGCAGGCTCACTCGATCCCAGGACCCCAAGATCATGACCTGCGCCGAAGGTAGATGCTTAACCGACTGAGCCACCCAGGCGCCCCCCCCTTAAATGGCCTTAAAAACCCTTTAAATTTTTTTTTTAAAATTTTATTTATTTATTTGAGAGAGAGAATGAGAGAGAGAGAGTACAGGAGAGGGGGGAAGGTCAGAGGGAGAAGCAGACTCCCCTACGAGCAGGGAGCCCGATGCGGGACTTGATCCTGGGACTCCAGGATCATGACCCGAGCCGAAGGCAGTCGCTTAACCAACCGAGCCACCCAGGTGCCCCTAGAATCCTTTTAATTTTTTTTTTAAAGATTTTATTTATTTATTTGACAGAGAGACACAGCGAGAGAGGGAACACAAGCAGGGGGAGTGGGAGAGGGAGAAGCAGGCTTCCCGTCGAGCAGGGAGCCTGATGCGGGGCTCGATCCCAGGACCCTGGGATCATGACCTGAGCTGAAGGCAGCTGCTTAACGACTGAGCCACCCAGGCACCCCTAGGATCCTTTTAATTTTCACTTATCTATTTATTTAATTTTTTAAAAAAGATTTTACTTTTTTAAGTAATCTCTACACCCAGCGTGGGGCTCGAACTCACAACACCAAGATCAAGAGTCCCAGGCTCTACCAGCTGAGGCAGCCAGGCGCCCCTTTTTAATTCCTTTTTAAATTTGAACATCATTCCTCCTTCAAAATACTACTTTCTTCAAAAATATTATTTTCTTAAAGAATTTTTTAGGTGATAAACACTGTAAATTTAAATGAAATAAAAAGAAAAACCAGTTTGTTTAGGTTTTTTTGAAGTGTGGATCTCAGTGAGAAGAAAAATTGTTAGTTTGATTTTAAGCAGAGGAAGAAATTGGTAAGAGTGCTAGGTTCTTGTCCAAAATCTCACAAGTAAAACAGATCCCACGGTATATTAAAATAATCAATTATACCCAGAAAGAACTGGGGGATAAAATAGGCAGATTTACAAGAATAATCTTGTGGTGAATGGCAGATGAACATATACAGAAAGTGTGTGGGTAGCTAAACCAAGAGATTTCAGTTCTCTTATATGTGAGTAACTGTTAGATATGATAAAGCTTGTAAGAGTTTATTGTTTCTTTGGATTTTTTTTTTTTACAGGCAGAAAAAATAGCATCACAAATGATAACAGAAGGACGTATGAATGGATTTATTGATCAGATTGATGGAATAGTTCATTTTGAAAGTAAGAGGTTTTGCTTATTTCTATCATAATGAAATGGCAGGAAACTCTTGTATATTTATGATTAGGACATGTTGAATAATTTCCTTTGACCCAGTATATTACTACTGGGATGAACTTATTTCCCAAAGAAATAATTTAAAATAATTTTTATGAACTTACATTCATGGATCTACTTAATGAAGCATTTTTTATGCTGTGGAAAAATTTGAAACTGGAATCGTTATGCCAGTTCATTCACTTACTCATCAAACACCACATACAATGTATCAGGCATGTAGAGATGCCAGTGGATTTCTTCTTCAGCAGCACGTTAAACTCATGGAGGCAGACAGATAAGTCTATCTCTTGACTCTGGTCAAGCCTATTCCTCCTCAGCCCCTATTCTTACCTCATTTCCACCCTGGACCTTGCTGTACCTGGAACCATGCTACTTGTAAGATTTGAATTTGAAATACTCTCACCATAACCTTTACCCTTTCTAGCAGTCTGTGTCAGTTAAGTTCCACTTCAGCTCCTCCCTGACTACTTTCGAGCCTCCGGTCCATTAATGTTAACTTTTTTCCAGTCAGCCCAGCCCTTTTTTGTCTTCACTCTTCCTATCCAGGTTGGCATCCGTGATTCATTGTATCTTTATTTTTTTTTTTTTTAAGATTTTATTAATTTTTATTTTAGAGAGAGTGTGTGTGAGCCGGGAAGGAGCAAAGGGAGAGAGAGAGAGTCTCCAGCAGACTCCACACTGAGCGCAGAGCCCAACACAGGGCTCAGTCCCAGGACCCTCAGATCATGACCTGAGCTGAAACCAAGAGTTGGTCACTCAACCGACTGAGCCACCCAGGCACCCTGATCATTATTTTCATTACTGTTTCCCAGGTGCCCTAGATGCCTTGCTTGTTAACTTTTTGTTCTGGCTGTCCAGGAAAGCTTCACCTGTAATGAACCCATTCTCCATCTTTTTCAATCCTGTACTTGGGTAGCTAGAGAAGAGTCAGAACACCAGACAGATTGATAACCACTGCAAATTCAAGGTCATGGGTTCTCAACAGTACCTAGGATTCTTTTTTTTGTAAGATTTTTATTTATTTATTTGACAGAGAGAGAGACAGCAATAGAGGGAACACAAGCAGGGGGAGTGGGAGAGGGAGAAGCAGGCTTCCCGCGGAGCAGGGAGCCCGATGCGGGGCTCGATCCCAGGACCCTG